GGCCGCGGCCCGGGCCCCAGCCCCGGCCCCAGAGGCCCAGCCGCGGGTACGATGCTGCCCAGCTCCATCCAGATTTCGGGGGAGCCGCTGTCAGGCGCCGAGGTGCGGGACATCTGCCGCGGCCTGCGCGACAACGCCGTGCGCCTGCTCTCGTTGCGCGGCTGCCGCCTCTGCGACCGCGACTTCGGCCGCATCTGCCGGGCCCTGGCCGGGGCCACGTCGCTGGCACAGCTCAACCTTAACCTGGGCGTCGTGTCCAGCCCCAGCCGCATCAAGCAGCTGGCGGAGGCGCTGCGGACCAACCGCTCCATCCAGTCCCTCTTGTGAGTGCGCTCCCTCGCACGGGGGTCCCGGGCACTGCACCCCTCCTCGCACTCCCCCGCCACCTCCTCTTCCTCCACACACTTTCCTGTACCTGTCTTTCCACCAACCTGCCTTCTCACCGCTTACACACACGCCTCATCCCTCTGCCCAGGCGTCCACAACCCCCTCCAAGCACATGCCTTATCTCCGAGTTTTGCAGGCGCAGCCCCACCCCAAATGAGATAGTTTATCCACCCCTTCCTAGCAGGGCACGTGTACCTCCTCACCTAAGCACCCTTCTCGGGGGCAGCTCCTCAGTTCCCAAGGAGTACTAGACCCCTGCCCTACATCTGCCCATTGAAGAATCCCAGTCCACCACCCACACACCCCTTGTCTGTGCTGCGTCCTGGATCCCAGTCCCTGCCCCAGAAAAGAAACGAAATTCATCTTCTACCTGTATTCCTTTAGAACCTAGAATTTTCTTTCTCCCTTCCCAAGGCCTCTCCCAAGTGCTGTGACCGAGTGCCCTCCTCACCTCTAGGGCTCACATAAGGGAAGGTGCTGCTTCCCCCTACAGATGGGGCTGTTGACTACAGTAACCTCTGCTCTCTGGTCTCACCCCCAGCCTGCATGGGAGCCCCCTGACAGATGCGGGGCTGGCCTTGCTAAATCCAGCCTTGGCCCTCCACCCTGCCCTCGTGGCTCTGGACTTGGGGGACTGCATGCTGGGTGATGAAGCCATCAACCTCATCTGTGGCCTCCTCCCCCCAGATGGGGCCAAGTCTGGTGAGCAGGGCCCTGCTGAGGGCATGGGCTGGTGTGGCCTTGATGAACAACTAAGTGCAGAGAGCAGGGGGCGCGTGGCCCAGAGCTGAGGGCTCTGCCAGAGTGGGAGAAAATCCTCTCAGGAAAAAGGATTGGGGGCTGAGCAGGAGGGAGGCAGGAATCCAGGCTTGCAGGGGGTGGCTGCAGGGAAGGCATGGTCTCTAATGGCCCTGGAGCTCTGTGGGGGGGCTCCCAGCCACTAGGGACACCACAGAGACTCCGGGTGGGGGAGGGGCTTGAGGAGGGGCCTGAACTTCTCCATCTTGGCTTCTTGCTGTGATGCTGCCCAGGCTTGAAGGAGTTAACGCTGAGTGCCAACCCTGGCATCACCCCCAAGGGCTGGAGCCGCCTCGCCATTGCTGTGGCCCACAGCTCCCAGGTCCGCGTCCTCAATCTGGACTACAACCCCCTGGGTGAGGCTCAGGAAAGCCCCCTTCAATTCTCACCACCCCACTCCCATCCAAGAACCTGGGACCATCAGTTGTCATGGTAACGCCCACACTGGAGAAAGGAAGAAGAGAGGGGAGTCTGGGAGGTAGTAGAGGAGCCACTTGTGTGGAGAACCAGATGACCAACAGGTAGATCAAAGCATCCCTCACTGTCCCTGGGCCTGGCCTGCTTCAACCAGTCGCTCACCAATCACAATCCTCCCCTCTTGGCCACCTACCAATTGTCAATGTTTCCTGGCCTGGGGGTGGGAATCTAAGGTTGTTAGGGCAATGGAGAGTGGAGGGGGAGGAGGGGTTAGCAGGCCTGCAGATGAGTGTGTGCTGTCTCTCCAGGTGACCACGTGGCAGGGATGCTGGCTGTAGCTGTGGCCTCCAGCCGCACCTTAGAGGTCCTAGACTTGGAGGGCACAGGGCTCACCAACCAGTCAGCTCAGGTAAGAAGTCTTCATGTTTGGGGATGGGCCAGGGGTTGGGGTGGTGGTTAGCCAGTGCATCTATGGACATATGGGAAGAGTGGCAGGTTGGAGCCTGAGGAGCTGCCCTAACTGTATTCATCCTTTTCCATACTCTCCTGCACCTCAGACCCTGCTGGACATGGTGGAAAATTACCCCACGGCTTTGCGGAGCCTGGTGTTGGCTGAGAACAGCATTAGCCCGGAGCTGCAGCAGCAGATCTGTGACCTCCTCTCTGAGGGGGAGGAGGAGGAGGAGATGGCAGGAGGGGCTGGCAACACCCAGGAACGAGAGAGAGGGCAGGAGCCCGCTGCCCACCAGAGGGGCAGCAGTCCCTGGATGTGCCCCAGTGGTAAGAGCCCTGAGGGTTGATCAGAGCCAGGTCTGGAAGAGGCTTGGGACCAGTGAGAGTGGGTGTGGGAAACCTAGGCCACTTCTCACCTATTTGCCGTCCCCACTGGAGGAACAAATTGTGGTCTGAACACCCTTTTGCCCTTCCACAGATCCCAGCTCTCAGATGGTACTGATGACGTCAGGACTAGGGGACAGTCTGTTGGCTGAGACCGAGATGTGACTCTCCATATGGGCTTCTGCGCATCACTACATTTGTCTGTGTCCCCAGCACCTTACCCCAGATATGAGGGTCAGGCTCTGGGGCTTGGGAGGGGGAGGGGGTACCTGGGGCTCTGGCAGCTCCTGGCAGTGTGGTGGGAGGCTCTGGAAACTGTGACTGAGCAACAGCCTTGGGGGCACTTGAACCCAAAGCAATGCCTCTGCACTTGTTGGCAGCTCTGACTGCAGCCCACTGGCTGGGAAGAGATTTTATGAACTCTACAACCTGGCATGTGGCTGTGGTCACTGGGGGCTGGCAGTAGGGGAGGAATTGGAATTACCATTAGACACCACTAGGGGGCAGTGCCACCCCACAGCCCAAGCTCCAGGCACCATTCTCTGGCCCCAAATGTCCCCAACCCGTCTAGCTCAGGTCTCTGTCCTGAGGTTCTGGGATGACACACAGGCCCCACAATAAGAATCATAACTAAGGTAAAGAGCCCACCTCTAGAGCTGGGCTGGACTGGACCCCACCTCAAGGAGAGACTTGGGCCCTACCAAGGTTACTTGAGGTGTACCCTCTCCCACTGCCTGAGGCTCCGTGCCCAGGGAAGCCCCTGGCAGTGTGGGGCAAGGGAGAGTCACTAGCAAAGACTAAGACATCATAAGGACTGGCAATACTCAAGAATGGGGAGAAGAATGGCAGAAGGAAGGTCATTAATAGACAAATTAGGCCATACCAGTAAAATAGTTTTATTTAATTTTAAAAGTCATCAGTGTGAAAATTTCCCACAGCTGGGAGTAACAGTCTAGAGCCAAGGTTGGGAGGGGGGCTAGGGCTCACATAGAGCCGAGCTTGAAGCCCCCGAATCCCACCCTCTACTCCCTTCCAGAGGGAGGAAGGAAACAGCTGAGGAGAGCCCTGAGTCAGCCCTCTCCCTCATCCCCGAGGGCCTGCCATGCCAGGCCCCTTGAAGGCAACAGCTCGTGCAGGGGATTTGGGGGAGAGGGAAACAGGTGGAAAATAGAAATTAGAGGTTAATAATCCCAACAACACCCCCCACCCCGAAAAAAACAAACAAAACTCATGGATTTGAGAGGAGGATGGAGAGTGAACACTTATGTAATAAACCCCTCAGCTCCCCAGAACAGCCCAATTTGGGCTGGGCTGATTGGAAGAAAGGTCTTGAGCCCTGGCTGCATATTACTTTTGGAGAATAAATAGTCTAAGAAGAAAGGGGAAAAACCATGAGGCAAGCCAGTGCCAGTCACAGTTAATGCAGCTGAAAGGCCTGATGTGGCCACCGCCTGACCCCATCCACACAGGGAACAGAGCTGTGCAGGCCTGGAGGGAGGAAAGTTCAAGGGCTCGGGTGGGCAGGGGACCCTGAGCTGCAAGGGTCCAGGCCTCCTTGCAGTCCCAGTGCAGCAGCGGCAGGAAGGCAAGCAGGGGCCCTAGTTGAGCAGGTTGCCCTGCTCCTGGGCCTGGGTCAGGCTGTCCTTACGGTGCAGGTGGTGCACCCCCATCCTCTTGGGGCTGCGCTGGGGGCGGCTGGAGCTGGGGAGTGCCCAGGTCCTAACCTCAGTGTGAGAGGTGCCAGGCCCCTCCTCTGTGCCACTACCACTGGGCAGCAGGCTCTGGCGCTCTTCCTCGGGGCTGATGGGCAGGTTCAGCTCTTCTTCCTCCTCCTCCCTGGGAAGGCCAGAGTCAGGTTCTGGTAGCAGCAAAATCCCACTCTCACTGGGTGGGGGAGAGGGTGCCAGAACCTCCTCATCTCTGTCAGCTGGGCTAAGAGCAAAATGGCGCTGCAGCTCAGGGAGTGCGTCACGTCCAAAGGCTGTGCGCTGGGCCACGGCGGCCGGGGGTGGAGCACGGTCCACAAATGCCCGCTGCCAGCTGGCCAGGAGGTCCTCCTCAGAGCTGGCAGAGCTGGCTGGGGCACTGAGTGTTGGGGGGGCAGGGCTGGGCTGGTGGTGGGGTGAAGCCTGGGCTGAGGCAGGGCTGCTGGGCACTGGGCTGGGGCGGGCCCGCTCACTCCCCTCCTCCACCAGGCTCAGGGAAATGGCCTGGCGCGTAGCGTAAGTGCAGTTGGGCAGGGGGCTATTGCGCGGAATTCGCACCTTATCCTCAGAGAACTCTATTACCTTGCGGCCAGGATACAGTGGGTGTGGTGGAGACGGGGTGGGGTAGGGGCTCAGCTTCTCAAAGGCCGGCAGGGGCGGCTCCTCTTCTGGGGAGCCCCCAGCAGTGCCCAGAGATTGGCACTCCCCATTGGGTTGGGGGGTGGGGCTGCCAGGGGCTGAGGGACTGGCTGGGTCACCCGGGGCACCCCCACTCATGTCCACGTGCACAAAGACATCCTCAGCCAAGGGGCGCCCGGCACTGCCTGACTGGGCTGAATTGAGCAGTAGCGACTCTGGCTTCTCCAACACCCGGGCAATGACGGAGGTGGGTACCACAGCCCCTGGTGCCAAGCTAGGGGCAGGTTCCAGGCTGGCAGCCTCTTGACCACTGTGCAGATGTTTCCGAACCATGTCCTGTAGCTCACAGGGCAGCTGGAGTGAAGGAGCGGAAGAAGGGAAGAGACATGATTGATCCCAGCCTAAGACAGCTTGACTCATGGCAAAAGTAACGGCTACCAAATACTAGGACCACTGTGTGCTCCGCACTCTGCTCTCTCTCGTTCTCGCAGCACGCCAAGGTCTATCCTCACTTCACAGACAAACTGAGGCTCAGTGGGGGTAAAATAACTTGAAGCTTTTGATGAACACAGCCAGGACCTGAACCCTGAATTGGTGCTAAGGCCCACGTGCTCTCAAACTTCTGTCTCCCCCATCTCAGCAGTGGCTTCTGCCCAAACCAGACATAAGTTTGAGAATCTTTACTGACCAGCAGCCTTGGGAATACCTTCACTCCTTCTGTAGGCCACATCAACCTTAGGCCTGAGGCTTTGGGGTCCCAAGTTTGCCCCTGGGGGTTAGGGGATCAGCTGGGCCCAATCCTCTCTCAATACTCCTCTGGCTGATAGCTCTGGCCACCCCCTCCTTCCTGCATGGGACCCGGAAGTTGAGTCCCTCTCACCCTGTCTCTGTTCCAGAAATACCAACAGGGCCAGCCCCCAGCCCTAGTGCTGGGCCCTTGACAGCACAGGACACAGGACACCAACCAGTGGCAGCTGACCGGCTTGAGAGAGACATGGAGGCGAGGGGAAGGCAAAGTAGAAAGGGGGAGTTAAAGGCAGGAGAATGGAGAGAGGCATAGAAACTGGAGTTAGAGGAGCCCTAAAAAGGCTGGACTGGCGTTGGCGGGGAGGGTGTTCTACTCACATCGGCGAACTTGTGGTTACGGAAGTGAGACTTGTTGCACTTGAGGAGCTGCACAGCCAGGTTGCAGTCCAGCCGGTACCGCTCCTGCAGATACAGACACGGTTCGGAGCCTGGCCCGGCCCAAGGGAGCAGGGTTGGGCCAGCCACAGGCGAGGAAGGCCCCCGAGGGGCACCCACATTGAGCTCCTCCAGCTTGTTGATGGTGTTCTTGGCATCCAGCAGCTTGTTGGTCAGCTCCACGATCTCCCAATCCAGTGTCTTCCTATCCATCTCAGCCTTCTTGATCTGAGGCACAAGACTGGTGGTGAACCCAGCCCACACCCCAGCCAGCCATTCCTCCCCTTCCACCTCCTCCAGCCCAGAGACACAGGAAGCCACAGGCGCTAGGGCAGCCAAGGCGGACGGAATAGAGACAGATGATGGACAGACAGAAGGAGACCAGACACCTCTCCTGTTCTCTGGGCTAGCTGTGGAACGGGGGCTTTCTGAGCATGACCTACTGCTGCCGGGGCCCGGGACAGAAGCTGTGTAAGAGCCGCCCATCCCTTGAGGGAACTGGAGGGCTCTTCGCCCTAGGCAAGGCAGCTGGTACCCGAGAGGCAATAACGGTGCAAACCCAGGGGCTGAAGCCTGTGTGTAGCTGTTTCCAGGATCGGGCTAGGAGGAGGGAGGGGGGAGTGGGGCTGGCTGGCAGCTTGGGGCGCCTGGGAGATTATCTAGTTGAGCTGGGAGGGAGCTGAAGGCTCAAAAGCAGACTTCTGATCTTCAGCTCACAGACTGGATCTACAGCCCCCCTTTCCCCTAATGGCTTGGTTCGCTGCCACCGCAGCTGAGAAGCTGTGTTCAGTGGTGACATCAGTCAGCACCTCTGCTGGAGCCAAGAGCAGGCTCCCCAGCTGTCCCCCAGGAGGGAGGCCCTGACTACCGAACGGGCCTCACAGAGGAAGAGGAAAGGAGTGGGCAGAGGAAAGTGCCAGGGCCCAGCAATCCCAGATCTCAGCTGAGGAGGAGGCCAGGGCAAAGGAGGAAACACACAAACTCAGACGCAACTGCAAAAATCCAGCTGTGGCTAAGAGAGGCCTGAGAGGAGAGCACAGCAGCAACGGCGGCAGCATGAGGGGAAGACGAGGAGAGAAGAGAAACAGTGTGAGCATTAGGACAGTCCTGACTTGCACAGCACACTGCGGTCCCCTCCCCACCACTGCACCCCTGCACCCCCCTCCCCAAGCCCCAGGGCAGAACGGCATTCCCCTGACAAGTCCTAGCCCCCTGCTATGCTGTGAACACAGTGCCAGGCAAACTGCCCTCCCGGACAGGTTACCAGCGTGTGCAGCTTGTCCTCCAGCTCCTGGTTGGTCCTCTGGGAAGCCGTGTAGCTGTTCTGCAGCCTGTAAAGGAATAACAGGCAGAGCCCTGGGTCAAGATCCTATTCTTTGGACCCTGCTCAGCCCCTCCTTGATATGGTATCTTGGGCAAGTCATTCTCCTCCCAGAATTTCAGTTATCTCATGAGAATCAAATGATCTTGAAGGCCTCTTCCAGCTAACCTATGAATGGGGAGATGTGTGCACGTGTGTCCTGGCCCCTCGTGCCCACACCTGCGGAACTTGTCCTTAAACTTGTCCAGCTCCTCGCGGCTCTGGCCCAGCTCCAGCTCCAGGCTGTCCTGCCCGATTTCCAGCTCACGCTCCAGGGCCTCAGTGCGCCTGGTGGCTGAGGCCAAGCGCCGGCGAAGCTCCTCATTCTCCTGCTGCAACAGCCTAGCAGGGTGAGGGGTTAAGGGCAGAGGGGCATCAGAGACAGAAGGCCCAGCCCTGGAGCCCCAGGCTGGTCTCAGGAAGGAAGAAGTAGGGATGACATGAGGACTCAGCCTGAGTCTAGGGCAGTAGATTCCATAGGCCTGCTGGTCCTGAGAACATGACCTGGCTTGGAGGATGGGGGAGGCAGAGGGCAGTCCAACACCCCGTCATTGGACAAGAATGAGAAGACAGAATGGGGGGGATACAGTTCCTAGCCTATCTCTGGTTACAGCCCAAGCCAGCCGGCCACCAAGCCCCCAGCTCCAGTTTCCTCACTGCACAATCAGGCTGCTCCATTATTAATCTCTTGGAAGTCCAGCCCAGCACTGCCCTCTTCTCCAGAGGCCTCACATGGCTGACAGAAAGGGCTGCAGGGAGGCAGCTGGCACAGGGGGGCCAGGAGCTGGGGAAGGGCTCTCTGGCAAGAGCAGGCCCTCAGAGCCAGCCCCCCTTTGATTCCAGGCTCTCTTAGAGCCCATGGAACAAAACCTCTTCCCAAAAGGAATATCTACAACATCAAGCCTGCTCCCAGAGTCCCTAAAACACCCCACCCCAATATTTACCTAATCCAAGGAAAAGCCCAACTGTACCCAGAGCCTCGCCTGGAGCTAAGAGGGACAGAGTTGAGGCAGGGCAGGCTCTCAGGCAGCAGATACTCACTTCATCCTCTCCGCATCAGTCAGGAACTCCTGGGCACAAAAGAACAGAAGGTTGAGGCTCAGCTCTGGACCAACTGGCCTTATGCTTAGCCCACCCTCCAAACAGCCCTGGAAAGGGCCATGTCTGAAGCCCAAAGACTCTCACAGCAGAGTAGGCTATCAGGTCCTGCAGAGATGGAGGCAATCCAGTAACGCCCAGACAAGCCTAGATTATTCTCTCCCCTGCCAACAAGAAGATTCCAGAACCCCTTCCAACCCTCACCCTTACCCACACCAGCTCCAACCCCTCTCTTAATCCTAAAGCCAGTTGCAAATGAATCCTGGTACCTATGCCACCTCTCCCGGGGATAAAGAGAGACTCTCAGCTGTTCACTGAGCTCCCAGTGGGCCCTGCAGGCAAGGCAGAGACCTTCCTGGGAAGTGAAGAAGGGAGGTGAGCTCTAGGAGGGTTCTGAGCTCTGACAAACTCTCCTGTCCCCTGGGGGGAAGGTGGGTTAGGGTTAGGTCTTTATTGAGGCCCGGAAGGAACAAGTGCATGGATGAAAGAGCGCCTCTGGGCCAAGCCTGACTGAGAGAGTGACGTGTCTTGTCTTGCTTTTAACCACCTGCCCCACCCTCCCCAAGCCCCCACGCTGGTCACAGCCCAAGAGCCAGAGCTCAGCCAACCACAAAGCAGAGCAGGCACATGCTAACGGCAAAAGGGAAATGTCACGGGGCCACTCCAAATGGAGCTGACTGCTTCAGAACGCCAGGCACGGGCAGGAAAATGTGCTGGGTGCCCAGACCACAGCCTCTGGAGCCACTGACACCTGGATTTGATCCCGTTCTACCACACACTGCTTACGGCTAATTTAACCTCACTGAGCCTCAGTGTCCTTATCTACAAAACCAGGGGAATGCCCACTGGGTAGCACCTAGCACAACACTCGGCCTTTTTATTTCATGTTCCCTGAACTGAAGTGGGCAAGTCATGGCACTTCTGCCCTGCATCTGACCAAAGTGGGCCATGGGACACCAGATGCGCAGCATGCGTTGACTGTCTCTCAGGTTCTGTAAACGTGCTCCATCTGCCGCAACAGGGTGGAAACAAGGCAATAAGGTGAATAAACCACGGCAACACTCGTTTCCTCCTGTCAGTAAACTTAATGAGGGAGGATAACCGATTTGGAGAACGTTTTGCAGTTGACTGAAGAAGGCCTCCTAAGAACCTAACGCAGTTTCCAGCAGGCAGCACGTGTTTAACAAATGTCAGCCAAACAAAGCAAAGCTGGAGGAAGGGCCAGACTTCCAGGGCCAGAGAAGAACAGCTGGCCTGGTGGGAAGTGCTGGAGCACCGCCTCCTAACAACCCCTAGAGGGGCCGCAGGTTGAAGGGCCCTCCTCCACTGGCAGAGGGCCAGAGTCCCAGCCTCCAGCACGTTAGGACCCCTCAGTCTGGTGGGCTGCCTCCTGCAGGAAGAACAATACTGTGCAGGATCATTTCTGCTGCGCTACGAAGTGATCCACAGGGGTTCCATGACCTGTGGACATGTACTCACAGCTGTCCTCTAGGAGCCAACACTGCCCCTTCCAGCACTGCTGCAGCTAGCAGGCTCCAGGCCTGTACTAGCAACGCCTCACCCCAACTCAGAAGATGAGAAGTCCCCTCAGGTGGGAGAAGCCAGCGAGACACCCAGCCTCAGAGGCCTGCCTCTGCCAGCCAGCGCAGGGTACCAGTCTTGCTGACCTCCTGCTCCAGCCGGGATCCAAGAACTTCCAGCCGCAACTCCCGATGCTCAGGTGGTGCCTTACGGTAGGGTTTCTTAGCAGGGGCCGCACTGGTCATTCTGGGAGGTGAGGGCTCCTCGACCTGCTGAGGGGAAGCAAGGAAGTAGGAGGCTCAGAGACCTGGACAAGAGGCCTCTGGACTGAGGGGAAAAAAGAACGGTAAAAGGGGACAGAGATAGGAGCCACCAGGCAGGCAGGCAGGTCTGGGCCATTGGTGGGGTCATTAGAAGGACTGAACTCTGGTGTGTCAGTGTCCATGGGTCAGGGGAGTGCTAGAGGGGAGCCCAGGTCCAATGGGAAGAGAAGAGTGGGAAAGGCAGGGCCAGGGCCTGGGCACCAGGAGGAATGGACTGTGCCCCAGGAGTGGGGCGAAGAGTCCAAAGAGCAGCCCACCACTCACTCTTGTGGGCTCAAGAGAAGGCCTCTGAGGGAAAACCTGCTCCCTATGTATCGGTTTCCTCAACTCTAAATTGGGGATGAGAATAGCAGCAATTTCATAGGGCTGTTGTGAAGATTATATAAAGCACTAAAAACAGTACCTGGCACTTAGGAAATGTTCAGTAAATGTTAGCTTTAAAAAATTCGTAACCAGAAAAGTAAGGGTTTGAGGATGTTCACCCAACCAGGCTCCTCAGTGGGGGTCTCCAAGCTCACGAGCTCTGAAGGCCAAGCCTCTCTGGCCTCCACCACTCTCTTTTCAGCCCCGACCAAGGGGGGTCACCCGGCAGCCCCCTCATCTGCCAGCGTCCCCAGAAGAGAGCCAAGTAGGGGGTGCAGGCATCACAGGGACATACCATCCGTCTGTCGGCAGCTTGCTCTGTTCTGCTGTCCGGGAGTTAGCCCGGGGCTCTCCGCATCCCACGGCCCCTTCACTTCCTCTAGCCAAGAGATCCTGAAACCGGAGAAGGGAAGAAAGTGGAAACCAGGTGTCAGCCGCCTGTCTGTCAGTACCACAGGCTGGTCTGCCCAGTCCCTAGCAGGCCCCCAGGGAGAGCCAGGCCATGGAACAGGAGTCTGAAGGGAAAGCAGTGGAGGCGGGAGAGGACTGGAAGCACTGAGCTCCTGCCTTTCTCCATGAAAGCACTGTCACGTGTCTGTGTCCATGGTCTCAGCTTACCACACACCTGATTCTGGAATAGGCCTAGTCCCGTCCTGTACATTTCCTACCCCACATCTGTCCTGTTCATATCCCAGGCCTCTCAGAGTCTGGAAACAACTAAGAGATTGGGGGAACATGGGTTGCAGAAGAGAACACCAGGAAAAAGCCTAGTAGATACCAGAGAAGATGCTGGAAAGAAAGCTCCTACCAGTGTTTTCAGAAGGAGCCCAAAGACTACCACCATGTACAATGGTGGTAAACAGACTTTGCAACGAGGAAGGGTAGGTCCAGGAGAGAAAATCTGAAAAGGCAGCGGTTTAGAGCAATGATGGTTCTCAACCAGGGTGAGTTTGGTCCCCCCGTGGGCCCCTGCCTTTCCCAGATATCTAGCAAATGTGTGAGGACATTTTTGGTTGTCATGACAGTGGAGGGTGCTACTGGCATCTAGTGGGTAGAGGCCAGGGATACTGCTCAACATCCTATAATGCACAGGACAGCCCCCATGACAAAGAATTATCAGCACAAAAATGTTGACAGTGCCAAACTTGAGAAACCCTAGTGTAGAAAACCAAAGTCTAGGGGCTGAGACACCTGGGTTCCAGGCTCAGTGCTGCTTCTGACACACTGCGTGGCCCTGGGTAAGTCCCTTCCAGATGAGGAACTGGATAAGCCTGTTCCTCATCTACACAAGGGTGGCTGGTCTGAGTGACCTGTGAGGACCCCTCCAGGTTCCTGGGGTTCTGAGCTTTGCCCCCACCTGTAATAAGCTAGGCTGCAGCATGGGGGCAGCAGGCACCACAGGGACCAATGGAGGCAGTAACCTTAGGTGGCCTTCTGGGCATAAACAATCTTCCCACTGCCATCCACCTAAACAGAGCTGGGGGCTGAGGGAAGCCTTGCGGGCTAAAGCATGTGTTCCTGCTGTTGGGACATGCCCTGACCATGACTCCTGTCACATTCCAATAGGGCCTGAGGCAGGAGGAATGGAGAGGAGGGAGGGCGGGGAACAGGAGCGGCCTCCCTCCTCTGTCTGGGCAGCTTGGTCTCTGGCTTGGGGCTCTGCGGGAACTGGGGCATGGCAGCAGGCACGAGCCGCCAACCTTCACCCCTTTGATGGTGAGGCAGAACGTGTCCCCACAGGGCACAAGCAGCATGCTGTGTCGGGCTGACTCCCTGCGCAGGAATCCGGGCGGGCCTGAGAGGACAGCACATTCCTGGGGTGTGAGGAGCAAGCAAGGCAGCCCTACAGGTTCCCCGGGGCCACCCCTCCAGAAGGCCCCAGGGGTGGGAGCTCCTATGGCCTGGGGGAGAGGCCCAGAAAGTCCCAAGCCAGCCTGGATACCTGGGTTCTGATCCTTGCGGGGTGTAAGTGTGTGGTACATATGAGTTGGAAAGGGTGGCAGAGACAGAAGTAAGAGACACAGGAAGCCAAGGGCTTCTTCAAAATCCAGGGCAGGCTCCAGAGCTGGCCTGGCCTTCTCCCCTTCTCTGCAGAGAAATTAGGCCCCCGTGCCCTTCCCCATCTACTCCCCAGTCAGTTGAGTTGCTGCTTGCTCCCTGCAGGCCCCTGTGTACCCCCCTCTATTTTCAGCCTATTCTTTTCTTCCCTAGCCCTATTCCTGCCAATGCCCACACCGTCCTCTAGACACCAGGACAGTTGAATGGGCACTGGGCGGGCAGGGAGGACACTGACATGCTCAGCTATCTGGTAAATTCTACCTGTAGGCAGAGCAGCCTCACTCCATGCCCGCAGCCCCAGCTCTAGTTGTCACACATCCTACACCTCATCCTGCCTCATCTTGACCTCAAGTCCCCACTCCCTGGCCCCCTGGCACATATTCCCAGGGCTTCCATGGCCAGATATCTGGCTTGCTGAGGGGGCAGAAAGTGTAGATGTGGCTGGTAGAGATGGGTAGTAAATGCAATCCAGACTCTCTGGGATGAGTGGTAGCGGTGACTGGGGCAGGGGTTATCTCCCCCAGCCAGTCTGCTCTTTCCATACACGTCAGAGTCACAAGGAGGGGAACCACTCCCCACTGGGGAAGCAGAAGGCAATGCCACTAGGGAGACAGGCCACCAGGGAGCCTGCAGTATCCCCAACACAAGTCCATGAGGGAGAGTCTATGCTACTCCCCACCCCATGTCCATAAATAGTAGTGTGTATTGGGGCCCTAGCTCCAACTCCTGAGATCTGATAAGTGCCCCAGATCCAGCCCACAGGGGCCCACAATTCCAGCACTGAACAGGGACACAACAGGCCTGGCAGGCTGCTGTCCTTGACTGGAAGTGCTACAGGGAAGGACAGACCCAGAGGTAAGAGCCAATGCCAGGTGCAGTGGAGAACAAAGCGAGAAGCAGCTGGACACCAGGCCCACGAGCTGGGAGAAGATGAAAGGTGAGCTGGAAGGCAGCAGAGCAGTCCCTCCAGGAAGACCCAGCTACCATGTGCGGCCTCCCCTGGCCACATCTTCACCAAAGGTTGCCAGGTTGCCTTGGAGTGTTTCAGCCCAAGGAGGACTCCCAATCCTGTGTCAAGAAGACAAGGCCCCTAGATAAAGCAGCTGGACAACTCAGAATGGGACATGGGCCATGACGAGCAAGCAAGCAGCCTCTGAGGGCTTTGGCCTCTGGGTCCTGAGCTGGCTCCAGGGCACCTCCAAGAAAATGGTTTTCTGGAAGGTCTAGAAATCAACAGGGATGAATGTCACTCCCATCCCTCACCCCAAACTACCTGAGTTTCAAGGAATTGGAGGCAGATGACTTAGAACGGGGAGCTACCAGATGATGTGTTGGGTTTGTACTACAAGAACAGCCATGCTCTGGGAGGAAGACTGAGGCCTAGGTGAAAACCTCTGGCTGACCCAGTCTGGTCTGGGGCTCCTCCAGCTGGACCCGTAGGCACTGCTGAGGGAGACGCCCAGAGCAGCAGTAAACCCTCCCCATCTCATGGAGGTGGGGTGAGAAGAGAAAGCAGCTCTCCTCACCTCTCACTGCCCCCACTCCACCTAACCCCGCCTCCTCCTTCCTCTTCTGCATAGTATTCATTCTTCACTTACTCAAAATCAGTTCAGAGAGACTCAACCACGTATCTGCTGGGGCAGAGAAGGGGTGATAGCTTCCTAATTGCCATGTTGCAATCTGCCAGGCGGTGCAGGCCGCCTGTTGCCGCCTGCCCCGTATTAAATACCTTCTCCCTGATTACAGCCCATGGGGCATGATTAGCTGCCTCCAGAGAACAAAGTCTACTTTCATTAGAAATGGGACTCGGCACGCACAGCGAACCTGCACTCTGAACCTACTGAATAGCTGAGCAGACAATGTAGACAGAGACAAATATAAGGAGAAATGTGCCAGAAGTTGGCTGAGCAGTATCCTTTAATCGAAGGACAAAACATTTGCCAAGGATCACTCTTTAACCAGGAGCTGGGACTCATACCTGCTCCCTTTCATGGATCAGAGAGTATGTGTATGTGACAGGGGCCTCCACCGTGGTCTGGGATCACCGCTGCTGGAGACCGAGTAGGATAAGGAGAAAACTCTTCAGAATCCTGATTCTCTCCAAACCACTGTCCTAATTCCTACTCCCAGCAAACACCCACAGGAGGCAACAGCAAAAAGGTTCAAGCCCAAGAGCCAAGGACACTCTCTCACTTCCTTCTGCCTTCCTTTCTGTGGGTCTGCCCAAGGCCCAGGGCAAAGTCAAAGGTGCAGGAGAGGAGGGGAGGTCCAAGCATCCAGCCTTCTCCCTGCTGAGGGCTCAGAGACCACCCCTTCAACAATGGCCCAGTAGAGGCAGACAGGATGGAATCCAAAATGGCTGTGGCTCTTTGGCTTTTCAAACTTCTGACTTCCCCCCACCAGATGTCCCTTCCAGCGCCCCAAGTTCTGCACTGCTACCTCACTCCACCCGCACTGGTTCAGCTGCCCTGCCCTAGAGAGATCAGCTCCCTCCCCCGCTCCCCACATCACCCACAGTCTCTTTAAGAGACGATGGCCCAACAGTTTATCTGGTCTCAGACCACTTCCTCACCTACTGATATACCTTTCTGCTCACAGCTGGCACTGAATCAAGCAAGTGACGGACCTTGAAGGGTCAATGAACCCAATCTTCTGAATCAGGGAGGGCCCACACATCACCACAAAAATCATTAAAGCTCTTCTTCATAATTCACCCAAAGAAAGTCAAACAGAAGTCAGCAATCGCTACTGCTTTTAATATAAAAGGAAAACTAGCCCTTTTTCAGAACATTCCAGCTGTGTTGTATGCTGCCTTAATTCCCTGGGAACCCAGCAGGATATAAATAAATAATAAACATAAACATAGGCCCTTCCTAAAGCCCCTAATCAACTGCTAAAACATGAACATCTGATCACACAGGGACTAGAGCCTTCCCTGCGGGAAGCGTCCTCAACCATAAACCCTGGATGCGGAGTCTCTGAACTCTGTAAGCCTGGAAGAAGCTGCACCTCTGGGGCAGGGCACACTCCTGCTATGCAAGCCCAGCTGCTTCTCAAGCCTCTGAAATCCAGGCTCTGCCTCCATCTGAGGCCCTAGAAACACAAACCACCACCCTGCAAGGGCCAGCCCTGTAACCAGGTGACCCAGCAGGGGCCCTGGGGATTGCTCACAAGGACCTCCCCCCCACCCCCAGCATGAATATGACCCCTCTCCACCTTGACTGTCAGTGAATGGCAGAACAGTCTCCCAGCACAGTGAGCTGATCCTACTAGAGCTGGCTGGGTTCTGTCTTCCCCACACCGTCCCTGGTGCCCCTCCTGCTTGCCACCAGCCCCCAGTTCCCAGCATGCAGCTGTTCCTGAGCTACATGAGCAAAGCCCTCAGCAATCCTGGGCGCGTGGCGGGCAAGCAGCCAGCAGAGCACGGGGTGGGGCCTGGGCAGGCTCTGCTCTGGGCGGATGACTAGACTGGAAGATGCCAGTCTGTGCCCAGACCAGCCCTGCTGCCCCCCTAACAGCCATGCCTGCCACCCCTCTGGGCAAGTACAACCTCACCGTCTTGGGACAAGCTGCCTGTGGCCCTGAACTGGCCCCCTGCCTGCTCTAAGTGGAACAGACTGACAGGTTTTTAAAAGCCAAAATGGGTGGAAATTATTCTGCCCCAGAGTAATCCTGAGGACACAGAACTAGTGCTGGTGACCTGTGAGAGCTCACCTGGCTCCCTAGCTGAGCAAATACGTCAAGTCTATCCACCTGGCCTCTCATTCAAGCAAACACTTGACAGGAGCAAAGGGGCTGAAGACTACTGATGATGATCCAAGCAAACCAAACTCCCCCACCCCTCATAAAGGGAGGGCCGAAAAAATCCTCAAGATCATAACCAGTACTTGACATTAGTCCCCATGCCCTCTCCAAGGAAGGGCACAGTGAGGGGTGGCCCTGAACCAGCCCTCCACTCCAGGCCCCTTTTGCTTTCCTGGTCAGAGCCAAGCCACAAACCCCTCCAGCTTGCTGACCCCCCAGTCACGGTCCCCACACTCCATGCAGCACCTATGCCCTCTCACACTGACACACTCCCGTCTCCCATCCCATGCTGGAGGGCAGCTCCCTGCCTTCGCCCTCGTAGCCCAGGGGAGTAGAACCCACTTGGAGGGCCTTCAGGTCTCCAGTTCGCCCATCCCGCCTACCCCACACTGCACTGCCTCCAAAGGCTGGAGACACGGAGAGTCTGTCTAGAGTTACCTGTGTAGAACACTAGGGAGCCCCGAGCACTCAGCCTTCCTACTATCTCTAGAACCCCCTTCTCCTTTCCAAGCCTGCAGGGAGAAGGGAGTTTGGCAGGAGCTTCTCCATGGCAGCCTGTTCACCCGTCTCCAAATCCGAGGCCAAGGCCTCTCTTAGGCCCACTGTGGAGTCCAAAGCCAGGTCCTGCCCTCTCTGGCTGAGGCGCCTTTCCCAGCTCTTCCCGGCTAAAGTCCACGTGAAGCTCCAGACGTGGAAGGAGGTGGGGGGCCAAACTCCACCCACTCCACCTCCCAGAGCAACGGTCACCAATAGGAGCTACATCTCAGATGGGTACCTGGTTCTGAGCTCCAGCTTTTAAGTAGCTTCACTCTTCTGCTCAGGGAATTTCTCACAGCCATGCCAAGGTTTTCTTCAACCTCCCCAACCCTGAGAACTTTGCAGTTGATCCTAAATTATCATCCTGGGGTGAGAATAATAGGGACATCATTCAATCTGCCCCTCTTGATAGAGGGAGCAAACTATCCGGTCTAGAAGAAAATTCCCTTCCTACTCTAGTTCCATCCGTCTCTGAGGCGTGAAACAGAAACAGCATGGTAACTGAGGGATAGTCTCAAACTCCATGTGCTAAAAGCAGATGAAACAGAAACTCTAACCAATTCTGTTTTAAGGGAGCACTGAGAGGTATGGTACTGACTGAGGGAAGGGTGAGGGGAGCAGAGTCCAGCAGCAGGCTGGCAGAGGGGCAGATGACTGTGCATAGGAGGCCCCCCTCTCCTGGCTGTGGAGGGGCACATCCCCACCCACAGCAAGGAGACTGGGAAGATGGAAGGAATTCAGTAGAAAGGACAAGACAGCAGAGGAGATGCCATGCTGTAAACTAAGGGGAGGAGGCAGTCAGGCTGAGAGGAGGAGGGGAGGACAGAGGCATTGCTGGTGGGACCCCCAGGGCAGGTTTGCCGGCCCAAGTCAGACTCACAGGGTTAGTGTCTTCTCCCCAGTCAGCCAGCTCTCCCGGTTAGCACGGTTAGCAGTTAGCGACAGACTCATGGCAGACGCCCTCCAGGCACTCCATATAAACAGACAGCTTGGTTTGTGAGCAGCCCAATTCCGGAGCTGCAAAAAGAGAGCAGAGGCAGGCCTAGCTGCAGGATGCCCAAGGGTGCACACCGCACTCGCCTGACAGGGCAAGCTCCTCCAGACTTACCACTATACCCTCAGGGGCTTTCTCCCATCCAGAAATCATGCCACGTGGAAGTGCAGCACTCCCCCTGCCAACCAGTGAGTCCAGCTCGCTGACCCCAGGTAACAAGGCTCTCTAGTTGGTCAACAGAAAGAGAGGACAGCTGTTGTGGAAGGGGGCACTGCTACCAGGGAGCAGCACCCCTGTCTCGCCTATGCCCTGAACACTGCTGCCAGGCTCCACCAGAGTCCTCAAAGTTGAGCTCTAAGAACAAAGCCACCCACAGCTGCAGCTGCCACCCCTCCCGTGCCTGTGCAGGCAGAGTTTACCCCACCACCTCCCACAGGCTCCAAGGAAAGGGGCTGAGACAGCACTGGCCCAGGAACCAGAGGCTGCAACAAGAGCTGCATGGAAAGCACAGTATAATGAGGCATAATGTGTGACCTGGCCCAGAGCTCGGCCAGTCAAGGGCAGAGGCGGCACACTGCCACTTTTCAGTTTCTGAAAGGGCCAGGGGGATGGTGCTGCCCAGAAAGCTGGCCCCTTAGGAACACAAAGAGTGAGGATAAAGGCTCTGCTACAGCCAGGCTCTCAGACTCCAACAGGGACTAATCCATCCCCTCAGAATGAGCAACACTCAGAAAGGCTAGTGTTCCCATCACAGCAAGCCCAGGAACAGTAGAAAACACTTTCCTGAAGCCTCCAGACCCACCCAGGGGAAGTGACATACCCTGGCTTAGAGATCTCAAGACAAATGCGGCCACAGCAGTGGAGTCCCAGAGACCCCACAAGATGTGACCCCTGGGGCAACAGGATAGGAAAGCTACCACAAATGTATCAGCAAATACTGCTTGTGCTTAATAGAGAAGGGCAACATGCTGGGAAGGAAAAAACAGGAGAGGGATTCTCCCTTTGGTCTGGAAAGCCCTGTAGATGCCTTGGGGTAGAAGGGGAGAACAGTGACCACCTTGGCCCCACAGAAGGGCCTGGCCCTCTCTCAAGCCTAGGTTAATGACTAATGCAGGCAGGAAAAGCCTCCAATAGGCTTCCCAACGCAATGGCCTACTCACTGGGCTCCCTATATCGCTCTGACAACAGCCCCAGAGCTCAAAAGGCCAAGGCCTGACTGCAGGTGAGACAACCACCTGGAAGAGAAGATGACCAACTCTTCCTATGGGTTCTGACCTCTTCCCTGGACTGCTAAGAAAGCATGGCCATTGACAGGCTACCTTCAGAATCCTCACCCACAAAACAAAATCAAAAAAATACCAGCTGGGAGCCGGCCCCGTGGCTTGGTGGTTAAGTGCGCGCGCTCTGCTACTGGCGGCCCAGGTTCGGATCCCGGGCGTGCACCGACGCACCGCTTCTCCGGCCATGCTGAGGCCACGTCCCACATACAGCAACTAGAAGGATGTGCAACTATGACATACAGCTATCTACTGGGGCTTTGAGGGAAAAAATAAATAAATAAAATTAAAAAAAAAAAATACCAGCTGGGTTTGGTTTGCTTTCAAAAGGTAGAGCAGCAAGTAACCCAGCTAATCCAAGGTTTCAGAAACCAGAGACTCTCTCTGCACTGAAATAGAGGCTAAGAAATCAGGTAATTTTCCTCTCTTCCCAGCCAAAAATAAAAAAGGAGTGAAGGGGAGAAACAACATGAGAGATGGAAATGTTGATGCCCATATGGCACTTAAATCTATCTTGATTCCCACTGAAGGCCACTCCTGCCAGACAATTTCATCTCAGAATAAAAAATAATCCCTCCGAGATAACCAAGGGGCCTGCTGTGGTGAGAACCTCCAGGAAAGCATCTCCATCCCTTCTGAGGAGCCAGCCCCAGAGGGAGCCACCAAGCTGGGAAGAAGCTACAACCAGGCTCCTCAAAGGCTCCAACAGGGACTACTTGACCCCGGGGTAACTTGTTAGGTGAACAGAGCAAGTTGAAGAACAGTATGTACTATTAGTGAGTTCTGTTTATTTTATAGGCAATACATGATAAGAATGTCTAGAAGTACACAAAAATGATTAGAAGGATACATGACAAGTGATTAACAGTAGTTCACTATCTCTGGGGATAGGGCTTGGACAGAAGCAGTGTGGGAAGAAAAGGAGGGTCTTTTCACTTTTTATTTTGTACGTTTTTCTATATGGTTGGTATTTTATACAAGGACATACATTATGTTTATCATGAAAACATACAATTCCTAGACATATGGACAAGCCCCTTCATCTGCACTGTGCTTTACCATTCCGGAAGTGCTTTCCCTTCCATTATATTTCCTCTGATCCTTGTAGCCTAGTGAGGCCCACAGAACAGGTGGAGTTCTCCCCTTTTGAAGTGGGAGAGGCCCAAGACCACAGACAGAACTGGGACAGAACCCTCAGTTTCCAATTCCAGTGCAAAGCCTGGAAAGCTGTCTTCTCTAGGGAGCCACAGGAAAGCCACAGCAATTCTGCCCTGATGTAAAGACCCTCAAAGGCTTCTGAGATTGAACTCCCCACCTCGCTTATCTGTGAAGGTGCAAAGAGGCCACTGCTCAGGACCCAGAATAAGCACAGAGTTCCACCCTACTGGTTAGCTGAGTGGAAGCACAGGGCTTTCGGGTCTAGGCTGACTTCCTGCGAGGCAGTCCTCCCCTCAGGGAGTTCCTACCAGTTCACTGTGAGAGCACAGGAGCTCTTCACAAATAGGAGGCCATGTCCTTTATAGATTCCAAATGTCACCTAGCCCACAGTTGGCACTTACGAGATAGTAACTAACAAAGAACAGGCCGCACTCATGACCAGTCCAGGAGACTTAGTCCCAAAAAAGTACACAACACAATCCAGTCCAGTTGGCTCACGCAATCTCCTCTTAAATCTGCTTAACATACAATGTAGCTTATCATTCCTGCCAAGATGCCATCAGTGAAGATATACCACACTGCCACGCGTACTCCCGCACCAAGGGACAAGGGGTAGACCCCAGGGAAAACTCCTTCGTTCCACTTGTAGCTACATGTTACATCCTTTTGATTTGTCCAGGCATTAACAAGTTGTAGTAAGTCCTGGCTGTGGGCATGGGGCACACCTAGATAGGACTAGGATACAACCAGAAAAGCAAGCCAGTTACACAGGGCACTAAAAGGAGCTTAACGAAGAACAGAGGACGGCAGCAGCCTAAGACTTTTTAGAAGATGGTAATTAAGCAAGAAAATATATCGATGTGTACTTCATCTCCTCTTTTAACCCTTTCCTGCTGGCTCAGGGACGTGTTATTAGAACATAAAAAGGCTGAAAAGGGAGACAGCTGAAGCCAAGCACCTGGAAGATCATTTAACCACACTAACTCAACCCTGGAAAATAATTAGGAATGCTATTGTCAATGCTATCACCTTTTGCTTATGCAGGATCTTCCGTCCTAAGAGTTCAAAAGGTTTCGCCAGATAGATCCTATCTGCTTTAGTCTCACCAAGGAAAGCCTGGGTCAGGTCCCACAGTAACCAGGATTGCCTAGCACCTACTATATAGGGCCTAAATGCTCAGCCTTCCGTAAAAGACCTTGCCCTCAGTGAGGGAGAGACAGGTTAACAGCCATTTGCATTCTAGTGTGGTGAGTGCTTTGAAAGAGAGGAAAGGCATCTGGCTGGGGCAGGGGTTTAAGGACCAGACAAGAAGGATGCCCTCCTGAAAACTCAGACATATCTTCCTCATCTGATTGTAAACTCACACGGAGCACCACCTGGCATTATACAATTAAGTGGTCTGGACCTATAGAAACAAATTCCTTTGGTGTTTGCTGGGAACTGGTGCCCTAAGAACTACATCAGACACACTAAAAACAAAAAAGCAAAGAATGGACAGTGATTCTCAGTTACCAGCCCCACTTTTGGGGAGCATCTGAGTTAAGCCTGTTCTGTGGCACAAGAAGATCATCAAAGCCCTAAGAAAACTAGGGCCAAGAAGTTTGGCTTTCTCAATGCCTAGATGTATTCCATCAGCTTCACCCAACATTTTTCAGTCCATAAAACTCCAGGAAACGTGGATCCTCAAACACCCCATCCAGTCATCCACAGCCTTAACTACATTACAAATCCACCACCTACCCGCCCCCACCCGCATCCACCAAGGTCACCACCACTCTCGCATGCATGTCGTGATCTGTCAAAGGAGTCATTACATCATAGGAGATGGAGAAAAGCATCAATAATCCTATTTTGCACAGGCTACTCATTGATGATGTCCCCAATCTCACTTTTCTTTCTTTCTTTCTTTCTTTTTTTTTTTTTTTTGCTGAGGAAGATTCGCCCTGAGCTAACATCTGTGCCAATCTTCCTCTATTTTGTATGTGGGTCACTGCCACAGCATGGCCACCAATGAGTGGTATAGGTCCGCACCCAGGAACCAAACCCGGGCCACCGAAGCAGAGCGCACCGCACTTAACCACCACGCCCCAGGGCCAGCCCCCAATCTCACTTTTCTTTATTGCGTCAACACAAGAAAAGAGACACTCTCAATTTTACTCCCATCTCAGAAATGCTCCTGGCTACTGGGCAGAAATCAAAAGGCTTATTCTAACCTGAATTAAAAAAAGCCTTTTCTTATCCACTGACTTTTCCAAAATGGGATTCATTCATTCAACAAATATGTACTGAGTATCCTTCATATGCTAGGCACCATGTTACATGCTGTGAACACATTATCTCTAATACCCAATACTCCTACAAAAAGATAATGTCACTCTCATTTTATAGGGGACAAGACCAAGGATCCTACTGATTAAGAAACTTACCCCAAGTTGCCCAGCTGGTAAGAGGCAGAGTCAGAATTTAAACTAGGTCTGCCTATGGGCCGGCCCCATGGCTTAGCGGTTAAATGCGCGCACTCCGCTGCTGGCGGCCTGGGGTTCGGATCCCGGGTGCGCACCGACGCACCGCTTCTCCGGCCATGCTGAGGCCGCATCCCACATACAGCAACTAGAAGGATGTGCAGCTATGACATACAACTATCTACTGGGGCTTTGGGGGAAAAAAAATAAACTAGGTCTGCCTAGCTCCAAAGTCAGACTCTATCACACTACTCACCCCACTCACAACTCCCTACCCCATGATCAGGGAGGGTCCCTCCTCTACAGAGGGTCAGCTCAGTGAAACAGACAGACAAGTAAACAGAGAACTCACCACTCAGTATGGAAAGTACCAGAACAGAGGTTCAAACAAAGTGCTGTGGAGGCCGAGGAGGAAAGGAGAGCAGGGAAGTCTCCTCACTGGAGGTGACACAGGAGCTGGGTCTTAGGGGATGAGCAAAGTTTCAGAGACAGGGTGGCCATTATGGAGAGAGTGAAGTGCACAAGCAAAAAAGAATAAAGTAAACCATAACAGGTTCAGGAGCCATAGGAAATTTAGGATCAATGAAGAACAGGAAAATGAAGTAGAGTGGCAGCACCTCAGGCCAGAGGGCTGGGTTTGGGCCAGAATGTAAAGAACCTTTTTGCATGCCTAGCCAAAGAGTGTGGACTTTATCCTAAACAAGGGAGAACCCACAGCATTTCTAAAGGAACAGGCATCGTTTTCTATAGGAACATAATTTTTACAGCAGCACAGAAGATAGATTGGAGTGGGGAGAGACTGCCCACCACATTTCATTCATTCTATATGCACCACTGCATTATAAAGCAATATTATGTGCCCTGCACTATCCTAACTGGTAGAACACAACAGCAAATAATACACAGGCCCTATTCTCAGGGCACTTAAGTCTTGTAAGAGTCAGACAAGTAAACAGGCAATTACAATACAGCACAAGTGTTAAAATAGAAGTAAGTACAGAGGGGCACTAAAGGGAGGTGGGATCCCAAAGGAAGTGACATTTAAACTGAGACCTGAAGGACAAAAAGGAAGGTAAAGGGAGGAGGGGGGAACGCTTTCCAGACCAGCAGCACCAGCAGGCCCAGCACCTGCAAAGGCCCAGAAGCAAGAGAGAATGAGATAAGTGCAGAGAGCTGGCTGAATCCAGGTGAGAAAGGAAGGCCCAGTTTACCCAGAGGTCTTTGGCACTCAAAATATGTGGTGAAAAGGATGTGAAGGGATTAGATTCAAAGATAGTACACGAATGAATAACGGGTCTCGTAACGGATGTTATGAGAAGAAATTGATTTAGATAACAACAAAAAGAAAACAGCAAAGGAGGAGAATCGGCTCAAAATCCATTAGCCTTCACCCTGCAGTTCAATCATTTGCTAAAATGTGACCTGAATCTAGAAAGTCAGACTTCTACCAAAACACAAAGGTGTACTCTAAGGAGATAACACATTTCAGCATGCTGACAGCAGCACAAATCAAGATAAAGTATATTATCCTAAGATATGTAGCTCCTAAGTTAATGGAGGAGGGGAGCAGAGTCTGACAGACACCGTCCAACTCTCAAAATCACATGTGCCACAACAAATAGAAAAGTCATCACAGGGCTGGGTCAGGATTCCCAGGGAAAGCTCTAAGGCCTGAGCCCCCAATTCCCCTTAAATCTGGTTAGACACCAGGCGCGTGTCTACTCTTGATGGCAGGGTAGAGAGTCATTTACTGAAGAAAAAGATGGGCCCTGAGGGCGTGCTAAATAGACAGGACATGACTCAGAAGGAGGGGAAGAGTGAGTTTTAAATATAGGGCAAAGGAAAGCCAGTCAATCAAACCTCAGGCACACCTCTGCCCTAAGACTGCACACGGGCCTCCAGCCTAGCTAAGGGAGAGCCTGGAGCACTGCGCCAGGGCCCTCCTCAGCAACACAAGCTTTAGCAGAAGCACTTTGGTTTTCCATTTTCCTCTCAAACTGCGGGGGGGAAGCAGTTTAAAATGCCACTTTTTTTTTTTCTATGTAGTTTGCTACTTGCTATTTTTAAAAGAAAGATGACATCCAGACTGTCTATGAATTTAACACTATGGCTACTTCAACTGCTTATGTCAGTAATCAGTCAGAAACGAGCCTTATATTTACACCTACATTAATACACACACACACACACACACACACACACACCTTTAAGGCATGCCAAGAATAGATCCAAATGTCAGTCTGCTCACGCATCCTAGGCCCAAGGTTTTCCAAAGGGCAGTCAAATCATGAAGAGAGTCCAGATTTGGCTAACATGGCACATACGGCTCCTTCACTACAGTCCCTGCACCAGCTGTTATTTCTGAGAGGAAGGAGAGAGCTGTGAGGAACAGCTCAGCTCTTAAAACATTTTTTAAATAACCAAAAATTTTACTACAATATGGGTATACAAGCCAGCCCTGGTGCTCTAGTGGTTAAGATTCGGCACTCTCACCACCGTGGCCTTGGTTGTTTCCCAGTCAGGGAACCACACCAGCCATCTGTCGGTTATCATACTGTGGCAGCTGCATGTTGCTGTGATGCTGAAAGCTATGCCACCAGTATTTCAAATACCAGCAGGGTCACCCATGGGGGACAGGTTTCAGCAGAGCTTCCAGACTAAGACAAACCAGGAAGAAGGACCTGGCCACACACTTGCTAAAAAACTGGCCATGAAAATCCTATGAATAGCAGTGGAGCATTGTCTGATATAGCGCCAGACGGTAGAGGATGGCGCAAAAGACTGGGCAGGGTTCCGCTCTGCTGTACACAGGGTCGCTAAGAGTCGAAATCCACTTGACAACACTAACAACAACAAAAACAGGTCTACATCTAACCATCATGACAAAGACACAAACTGCCACGAGGCATATTTAAGTTAACTTCATACCAAATAAAAAGAAAAGTTAAATTGCTGAAGCCAGACTGCCTCGGTTCAAATCCCAATTCTGCCACTTATTAACTGGGTGACCTTGAACAAGTTACTTAACCACTCTGCACCTCTATTTCTTCACCTGTAAAAAGGAGATAAAAACGGCATCTACTTCATAGGGTTGTTATGAAAATTAAATTAGTTAGTACATGTAAAGGACTTACAATAGTGCCAGGCACATAGAACGTGCTCTATTGCACTATTATTATTATCACTATTATTATTATTAACACTCAACTGCAAAGAAGATAATTCTATAGCCTCACAGCTTCAAACACGAAATCACTGACATTTTAACATCACTTTAAACAGCCTAATGAGGATATTCTCACTACATGCAAAATTGATACTATCCAAAAGCTGTGCCTCATCTCTCTAACATCAGGAAAGCAGCCCAAACCAGTACAGGTCCTCCATGGAGAGACACCAGGTTCAAGCATGAAGCAGAAATTAGTGCTGAGATCTGACTAGCATAATAACAACAAATAGGTATTGAGTGTCAGGCACTATTCTAAATACATTAATGTATTAACTTGTTTAACCCCCACACCAACCCTACGAGACCAGTACTCTTACCATCCTCATTTGATTGATGAGGAAGCTGAGGCACAGAGAGCTATGCAATTTCTCAAGATCACAAAGCTACAAATGGCAAAGTAAGGATTTGAACCAGGCAGTGTGGCTCCAGAATTAGTGCTCCTAATCTCTACGTACGCTCACCACACTGTCCTTGCTGATCACAATTTCCAAGGGGGGATCCACAAATTGTCCTCAGGAAGAGAAGGTTCTCAACCTTCTACGAATGGAGTCACAGCTAAATAGCATCAGTTCTTCAGACACCTGAAGGTATTGAGGCATTGAAGCTGGCCTAGTAACAGTGATTTGGGTTGGTCTGTCCAGAGTAAGCCTTTTCTTTTGGGGGGGGGGGCGGTTGAGGAGGGGGCAGCAGAGATGGTTAGTGAGGAGTCCTGGATCAAATCAGACCTCCCAGCCCAATCATGGAGCAGATGCTAGTCCTGAGCTAGCAGAGCTAGCTCCCAACTCCAGCTTGGGCATAACCACAGGGCATCAAAGGAAGTGAGGCCTGTATTCTCTGTAGCCCCAGACCCCTTCCCTTTTCTCCAACCCCAAGTCCACTATCTCTCAAGCCACGCTTAGTTTGGCTACTGAAACACATTTCGTTGTTGTTTTTTTAAATGTGGTTTGATGGGGAAAACACAAAGGAAGAGAATAAAGCTACCAGAAGAAAAAAGGGCAAGTTCTACAATCCTTTCCTTCCGTCACCACACTGGTCCAGACTGTAAAGCAGCTCTTAAACAGGGATCTCAGACACAGAAAGTCATGTGATAAACATTCCCAGAGCTCTACAGCAGTCAGCTTGACCATAAACTGATCTGGGGTTCTTTTCCCTAATTCCAATCTGCCTTTTCCCCCACCTCTGACCCCACCTACCCACCAAATCCACATCCCCAAAGGAACACCAATGAGCCCTTCTTACCAAAAGAAAAGATCAAAAGAAGTAAACACGCTGCAAGAGTGAATTCAGGAGTTGGTGACAGCAGGTACCTAAATGGTCAGTGAACACCATCAGAAATTAGTTTTCTCAAGACTCCCCACCATCTGTCACCTACAAATCACTTCAGACAGGATGCCCAACTGGAGACGTGATGGGAAGATCGAAGAAGATACAACGAGCTTGTAAGAAACTGCTTGTGACAGGGATGTGTTAAAATACTTTCAGCCTGATCTCTAGGCCCTTGCCCATGTCTGCTTGCACAGGTAAAGGCACACAAGACTCAATTCTAACCCAACTCTCAAACACCTGAGTGCAATCTAAGCAGAACACGGTAATTTAGAGACCACAAGCAAAGGGCAACCTCTATAGAAGAGCGCCCTTCTCAGATTAAATGATTCTCAGCGTCGCTCGGGGCCCATGCATCCTTACTTCCAGGGGACATGCCAGCCTGTCACTGGAGGCCACCTTACCCGCTCTGGGGTTGGGCTGGGGCAAGTCGCTACCTCTTCTTTCCAAGCAGGCACTGCGATTTCTTCCAGTCCCTGGGGCCCCTGAGTCGTCAGCTGAAATTGGGGCAGACGCTGCTATAGGAACTGTAGAAAACCGATCTAAGTCTGGAAGAGGGTCATTTGACTGGCCTTAGTTCCCTCCTTACCAAACCTGCCCAGTATCTTCCATGTCTCTCCGCCCCTCTTCCCTACTATCCTCCTCCACAGAAAAGACCCCTTTCCTCTCCCAGCGGCCTGGCACAGATGGGCCGCGGCCACAAGCTCCAGGCTTCTTTACTCTCGGTTAAGAAATTCTCCTCAAACTCGTGACTCTGCTTCTCCAGGGCCTGCACACCTACTTCGGGTTCCTGGGTCCTGGACCCCCTCCCCCAGGGCCGCCACTGGATCCTAGGCCCCCTCCCCTCCGCCCCATCTCCCTCTTTTTTTCTCCCCGCCTCCAACCTTCCACCATTCCATTTCCTCTTCTCAACCCCGGAGCTAGTCCCTCCTCTGCCCCTACTCCACGCTAGCGTCCCCACGATCCCCCCCAACTTTAGCCTCCCGGCCCGACAACTCCAATCCCACAACAAACTTTCTGCCGCTACCCGCTCCCTTCAGGCCGCCATCTTGCCGAGAGGCAGGCCGGGTAGTGGCCACGGCCGCGGGAATCCCCACGCACAAGGCGCTGAGCGTCATCGGGGGCGTGGCCATGGGCGTGGCCTACGGGAGCGGAACTGGGGCATCAGGTGGTGGGGGAGATACGGATTTCGTAAGAGCAGGGTTTGGAGGCCTGGCTGCTGGAGAAGGAAGGAGGTGTCAGGAGTAGGGCAATGGCAGGAAGGGTGGGGAAAGATTCTGGTGCTCCGGAAAAAAAAAAAGAATGAGGAAAACACTACAAAAATAGAGTTGTAGCACTGATTCCCCATCATCCAAAGGATAAAAGCAGCTTCTCAGCTTGCCATGCGGAGAGCCGCATGACCCAGCCTCTTCCACCTTACCAGCCTAATTTTCGACCTCTCCCAGGGACTTCAGGTTTCCAATTGTCCTGTGTTTTCAGGCCATCAGACCTTAAAATGTCCACACCCTCTCTTCCCCTTGCATTATCAATTCCTACTCCTCCTTCAGCCCTCAGCTCGAATTGTCACCTCCTCCAGAAAGCCTTCCCCAATCCCCCAGACTGGATTTGGTGCTCCTTTTGCTGGGCATCTCTAGCCACTTGCACATAACTTCGTTGTAGCTATCCTGTGCTGTAAGGATTTATTTACATGGTGTATCCCTCACTAAGCTGCTGTTCCTTCAGGGCAAAAGCTATGTCTGATTGCGTCTTCGTATTCCCTAGCAGGTGCCTGGCACAAGGTAAATACTTAATGAATAAACAGCATGGCATCCTCCAACGCACTAAGCATACTTCTGCTTTAGAGCTTTTAGTTTGCTGTTCCCTGTGCCTGGAATGTTCTTCCTCCAGATATTCCCATTCGTGTCTCCACTCAAAGGTCACCACCTCAGAGAAGCCTTCCATAGCCATTTGATCTAAAACAACATTCCCAGTCACTCTTCCTTACCCTGCTTTAATATTTTCTTTAATAGCACTTATAATTATCTGACATATTAAATATTTCTGTGTTTGTTTATTGACCATCTCCCACTACAATGCAAACTCCAGAGGTCTGGGACTTTTTCTCATTCATCACTGTATCCCCAGTGTCTAAAAGAAACCCTGGCATAGTAAGTGCTCAATAAATGTTTATTGAGTGAATAAATGGCATGGAGATGAGTGATAGAGGGATTTTGGAATATAGTGGTAGAGAGGAAGGGTTGCAAACACTACAAAACAGGGAAATGCATAGGTAGAAGTTACAGGCCCCCAACGCCAGGCTTGGCCCTATCAGGAATGGTAGCAAAGACAAAACCCAGGCTCAGCAAAGGAGGGAGTGGGATGAGAGCCAGGTGGAATTCTGGAGGTGGGTCCGCAGGGAGCAGAGCCCTCCTGGGAAAGCCACAGTTCAGGTAGAGGAAATGGGGTGGGCTGGAGATTGAGGAGTTTACTCAGATCTAAAGAAAATATCCACCCTGAGCCCAGGCCTCTCTTGGCCAGATGGTTCCGGAGAAGCCTCAGCATCTGTTCCTCTGTAAATTATCCAGTGCCCCCTCCTGCCTGTCTTCTCTGGTGACAGCCGGAACAATTGTCCAGGAATTCCATCTGCTCCCCTGTCTTCTCCCCTCCACTGCTCATCAACATTTCAGAGTGGAGAGGTGTCCCATTTCCCTGAGCCTAGGGGTGGAAGCTGGTCTGTCCCTTGGTGGAACTGGCCTCAAGCACTCACTCCTCCACCAACACACACAAATAAAACCTCAGCAGAGAGTCCCCAGTCCCTGGAGGGAGGGGTCAGTCATTTTTATTTCCCATTCTGTTCATGCTTTTCAATCCCATACAACTTCTTCTTATTATTAATTTGATAAAATTACACTAAATGAATCAATCATATTGGCTCTTGCAGAGCTTAAAATAAGGGCTCCTTATCATTATACATTTCCACGTGGTTCCCCTTAAATGGCCATACAGTACTGTCAAAATGTAACATTCATTGTGATAGAAGACCACAAACTCAGATTTTTTGAAACAGGACTTTTACTGTTTACTAAAAAGAATCTGCTTAAAGGAAGAAATGAGGAAGCTAGTTTTCTTTTCGAAACAGCTATAACCCCCAGATCTCCTCTCTACCTTTCCGGAAATTATTCTGTGATGCACAGGGAAAGGGAGGCCCATGAACTGTCAGGTAAACAAACTTATAGTATATAAATTTGAAAAGGGATCCAAGTTTGTATTTTGTAAACGAGGAGAGCATAAGTAAATAGAAACGTATCTTTGAAAAGAAAAAGAGTCACAGTCCTCCACAGTTTTTAACTTTTAGGATATGTGAGATAAAGTTCTTTTTACTAGGAGGTGGCTGGTTTACCTCATCACTCCCTCTGTGGATGTACAAATGCATGTGTGTATACCTATATATTCATTAGGCCACAATTACATAGTTGATCCTATCACCATAAGACAACTCTGAGGAAGGTGGTGAAGATTGAAGATCTCTTCTAGGCTTTCAGGGTTTTACAAAGTAGCCGCAATTTGCAGAAGAGTCAGGCTCACTAGGTTTCGATGACAGTTTTCATATGGTTGTGCCTCGGTGTCCACAGGGCTGCAGGCAGGGGCTGCAGGGCCCACCTGCACAAGCGTGGTCAAGTATTTCCCAGGACACAAGCCACCCATCCAAGACCATTCTTTCTCCTGATTTCGTTTGCGTAGACCTAGTCTCCCAACTGGACTGAATGTATTGGTGCAGAGTGCAGGCTTGGCCTGACAGGCTATGTAGGTGGAAAAGGACCTTGGATTAGAAATGAGTCTTGGACAAAGACAGCTATTTGAGCTCTGGGTATTGGAGGAAACTGCTGGCAAAAGAGATGAAACCATCCTGGCTCAGCCCCATAGTCCTTTAAACTGTTCATCATGACAGCTAGAAGGGCCTTAGACCATATGCAGTCTTTTTGGTTGCAATGGACTTTATCTACTAACAGTTTGAAGCCAGGAGCCTGCCTCTATTCTTATTTGTGACCCTGACTGGACATGCTGGACACTATTTACACGGTTATTTTGACAATGATTTCTTTTTTTTTTTTTTTAATTTTATTTATTTATTTATCCCCCCAAAGCCACGGGGCCAGCCCAACAATGATTTCAATACTTCAAGAGGTTATAACTTGGTTTGCTTCCCTAGATTTAAGTTATACCCATTTCCAGGGCCGGCCCTGTGGTGTAGCAGTTAAATGTGCATGCTCCACTGCTGGCGGCCCGGGTTCGGATCCCCGGTGCGCACCGACACACCGCTTGTCAGGCCATGCTGTGGCGGCATCCCATATAAAGTGGAGGAAGATGGGCACAGATGTTAGCTCAGGGCCAGTCTTCCTCAGCAAAAAGAGGAGGATTGGCATGGATGTTAGCTCAGGGCTGATCTTCCTCACACACACACAAACACACTAAATAAATTAAATAAATAAATTTAAGTTATACCCATTTCCTAATTCTTCCATCTATTAATGGAAGTCCACAGCTGCCACGCTGGTGGATAAGCTTTTATTATGTGTAAGTGTCTTTTTCCTAACTCAGGTTGTTGTATTTGATGGGAGCTTAGGAAATGTAATTTTAAAAACCTTGAAACTTGGTGGGATCTTGCATTCTTTGATATTCTTAAAACCGCTTAACTCTTAAAAGGTACTTAATGAAGGCAGGAACTCAAACAAATATTTGTACACCCATGTATGCAATAACGCTGTTCATAGCAGCATTATTACGATAGCCAAAAGACGGAAGCAACCTAAGTGTCCAGCGACAGGTGAATAGCTAAACAAAATGTGGTATATACCTATAATGGAATATTTTTCAGCCATAAAAAGGAGGGAAATTCTGAAACATGCTACAAAATGGATGAACCTTGAGGATATTATGCTAAGTGAAGTAAGCCAGTCACAAAAGAACAAACACTGTATGATTCCATTTATATAAGGTACCTAGAGTAGTCAAATTCATAGGGACAGAAAATAGAATGGTGGTTGCCAGGTGCAGGGGGAAGGGGAGGATGGAGGGTTAGTGTTTAATGGGTACAGAGTTTCAGGTTGGGAAGATGAAAAAGTTCTGGAGGTGGATAGTGATGATGGTTGCCCAACAATGTGAATGTTGGCAGTCAATGTTAAGTCACTGAGCTGTACACTTAAAGATGGTTAAAATGGTAAATGTTATGTTATGTATATTTTACCACAATAAAAAATATTTCCAGTTAAGAAAAATACTTAAGGGGCCGGCCTGGTGGCGTAGCGGTTAACTGCGCGCCCTCTGCTGCAGTGGCCCGGAGTTTGCAGGTTCAGATCCCAGGTGCGCATCGACGCTTGTCAAGCCATGCTGTGGCGGCATCCCATATAAAGTAGATGGGATGGGCACGGATGTTAGCCCAGGGCCGATCTTCCTCAGCAAAGAGAGGAGGATTGGCAACAGATGTTAGCTCAGGGTTAATGTTCCTCACACACACACGCAAACACACACACACACACACACACATATATACTTAAAATATACATCCCGTACATCTTTATATGATACTGAGTCTCGTTTTCTGGCTTCAGGTGGGGTCCCAGCCCTCCCAACTCTAAGGCAGGGACTCCCTGAGGGCAAGGCTTGTCTACCCCCTTGGAGTTTGGGCCTGAAGTGAGAACCTGTGCCTCCCCTCTCAGAATTCAATTTTGAGTCCTGGGGAAGCTTGGAAAGTGCAGAAGCAGCAGCTTACCTCCCTCTTCTGGGCTGCACTGGGACCCGTTTGTCAGGCCCTTCTTCGCTCTGACCTGGTAGGCACTGGGTAGTTCTGCG